CGTCGAGGGCGTGTCGGCGAGGACAAGGGCGCACCAGCAAGACACTACTCGAGAAGAAGTGAGCGGGCGGCAGGACTCTGCTTTGCGTTCTTTTCAGAGTCATGGGATGATGGACGATATGCGGCGTTCTTTCTTGGGAGGGCATACAGCGGGCGGGGACCTGGTACACATTAGACACACTCGCGTGTTGTGATAAAGTAGAGGCTTCGAAGGACGTGTGTTGTAGATTCCAGGCTCAGCCAGGACAGGAATGATGAACGGTTTCTTTTCCATCATGTTCACCCTTCTCTCTTGTTGTACTGCATGACTGCTGCAGCCGGCCAGTCTGGAACTCTGTGCCACTGGTCTCCGCTCTCTGCGCGATGACAACTTTAGTACCCAACCTCACAACATTCCAGGCTCTCAGAGGCGAGCCTGGTCGCTTACAACCGGACCAGACAACAACCCCATAACGACACGGAAAAATCGGTTCAGGACATCCGGGTCCCCGCAGGCTGACCGGCCCCCCACGCTCTCGCCGACAACATCTTCGTTCGAATAAGCTTAACCACAAGGTATTCTGCTCCTGAGCGAATGCTCTTTTGCAGCCAATGGAGAGCACTACTTTTTGCTTTGCGTTTTAGTAGCTTCAATAGTTCAGCCTTCAATGTAGATCGCCGGCCCACCCATGGCCTGATCCCCTCGTTAGCCAGGTCAAGCGACGCAGGGCTACGGTGTTGACGTCCCCCCCGCAGTGTAATAAGCATAATCATCTGTCTTCTCTGGTGGCCGCATCTCGGATCTGTGATGCGGGCAGCGTCGAACGTGAGAACCCTGATGGCTTGAATGCTGGTTCTGTCAGCCAACTGCACGTACGTATAAGCGCAGGCCATCACACGCACAGGCAATACAGGCTATGCACAGTGATGAGGAGCAGAGTGGGCGAATATTTCTGATTGAAGTATGTACCGTACGGGCATTATAGTCCGCACGCAGCGAAACAACAAAGCAGCCCGTGTTGAACGCATGCTCTGTGATCACAACTTCATGTCACCGCCAATCAAACGAGCGTCTCTCCTCCATTCTGAGCCTTAGACATCCAATCATCCACCGTGACCTCACGGACTGGTCCCTATTAGCAAGCCTCTCGAGAAGTTGACAGTTTTCCCCACGGGACAACTGATACTTACATCAAGACTCGGAAGTCTCAGTGGGAATCGCAGTGGTACTGAACGAGGCCGTCACCACATTCGGTCTCGCCGTGCGAGTGGCAGCCAGAGCTGTTGGGCGTCACGCCCGTCCTGCAGCAGAACTCGCAGTTTCCAATGGGGGAGCAGTTGGTGGGAGGCACGCAGACACGGCGCTCGAGGTGGTTCTCCTCAAGAGGAGAAGGGAGGGCCGTCGCCCGAAGGGCCAGAGGGAGGAGAGCGAGGAGGACCTTGACGGAGACCATTTTGGCTGATGTTGTTCGTTGGAACTTGCGAGGTTGTTGAGTGTGAGACGATGAGCTGATGATAATGGAAATATCGTCTCCTTCCCAGGCAAATAGCCCTCTACTTATACTTCTTCAGCATCGTCTACCGTGTTCTCCTTTTCGTCTCTGCCGCCGATCGCGAGACGCCGGCGTTGCAAAAGTCGTCGTTGTCGTCTCACTACTGCAACCTGTCTGCCAGTATGATTGGATTCATCCGTAGGGTCCCTCCCACAGCATACGGCCGCGCCTCATGAGGAAGGCCAGTCAAGGGAGGCTATTCCCAAGGGAGGGCCCCGGACCGTTGCGCTTCATGCCGGCTATTGCAGGTACATGAGGCACTCAATTCCATCCCGTCGTCTGTTTCGTCCCCAGTTGCTCGTCCGATAGTATTGCGAGCGAGATCCATGTAAACTGCTGACCGGCCTTGGAGCCAAAAAACCGCAAATCAACCTTGAGAGGTTGTCGCCGCCGTCTCTGGACACAAATCCCGCACAGGGTCCCCTGCAGCTCAAGCCCATGTGAGCTTGAAGTCTTGGCGTGGGATTCATCCGCGAGAGAAAGATACCTCCCACAAACCTCTAGATATCCGACAGGCAAGCAACGGAGACCAAGACCCTGGATGTTGCCACCGACGAACAGGCGACAGATAGAGAGCGAATTCGCATTGGCCCGTTGTGCCTGGGGGCGCGGCCGACAAGAGGATCGAGCCGGGCCACAAGGGTTCTCAATATTGATGTTCACCATGCAGGTTCTCACCAACCACCACAGCCTCGGCTGCGAGCCCTGTGACGGCCCAGGTGAGATGCGCCATGCTAGACAAATGCAGAAGGAGGGCTTTGTCTGTCGAGAGGAGAAACTGGGAATAGCTGACCTGGGATCGCCAACACACGGAGAAGGGCGCGCTTGCCCATGCTTCCAAGCTCCCATGCTTCCAAGCTCCCACGCTTCCTTGTCCTCATGCCCGCTGTAGCAGGGAGCCTGCTCAGGCGAGGATGTATAAGAGCCTCCTGTTCGCCGTGCAGGAGATGCATGAGACCTCCCGTCACTCGTTAGCCTCATCTCAAAACAGCAGCTTACACAGCGAGATCAGAGGACCCAACCATGGCACGCTCTTGGACCGCCCCTCTCCTCATGGCCGGCCTGGCCGCGGCCCTACCGCAAGGCACTCCCGTCGCCCCGTCGCCCTCCGGGCAGGACTGCACGTAAGCTTAAATCAGCCCTATGAATGTGTGCACGACTCGCTGACAACAATCACCAGCTGGCACGAGGACCACTGGGACTGCTTGGCCGCATGCGAGACGGTGACTACCACACGGCTCGCTATTGATGCGACCGTCACTGACTGGGACGCCTTCCGGTCGTCCATGGACGCTGAGCACTCGACTTCTGATGTCCCTTTCACTGGAAGCAGCGTCTTTGTGCACACCTCGCTGTACACCTACCCTGGTGGCAGCTTCACTGGGTACCAGCTGTACGACTCGCATGCCTTGACGCGTGCCGGCTTTAGCATCACCACTGAGCTGGTGGCTGAGACCAGCTGCCCGACGACCTTCACTCTGCCGCCGTCGCCGACTGGTGCCAATTGCAGCCCTCACCAGGACCATTGTAAGTAGATCGACTCGAGCCGGTACCCAAGAATAAAAAAGCTGACAGTAACGCAAGGGCACTGCGACCCGACCTCTGTGGTGGCACCCACCACCACAGCGCCGCCCGTCGACGACACGGAGTGCACTCCTCACGACGACCACTGGCACTGCCCGCCAGGCGTTGAAGAGCCCCCCTTCCCGCCTGGAGGTCAGCCTGGCCCTCCCACCACCCCCCCTCCGTCGGGCGGCGGCGGTGATGGCGGCGAGGAAGAATGCACTCCTCATGGTGACCACTGGCACTGTCCTCCTGGCGTCGAAGAACCTGCTTTCCCTCCTGGCGGCTCGCCCTCTGACCCTACGACCCCTCCTCCGGCCGGCGGCGATAGCGGGGAGTGCACCGCCCACGATGATCACTGGCACTGCCCCCCCGGAGTCGAGGAGCCTGCTTTCCCCCCCGGCGGCGAGCCGTCCGATCCCACTGCACCTCCCCCGGCCGGCGGTGAAGAAGAGTGCACCGCCCACGACGACCACTGGCACTGCCCTCCTGGCGTTGAGGAGCCCTCGATCCCTCCAGGAAGCGAGCCTGGTTCCGGCGACCATGGGGATGACCACAGCGGCACCGGCGAGTGCACTGCTCACGACGACCACTGGCACTGCCCTCCTGGCGTTGAGGAGCCCTCGATCCCTCCAGGAAGCGAGCCTGGTTCCGGCGACCATGGGGATGACCACAGCGGCACCGGCGAGTGCACTGCTCACGACGACCACTGGCACTGCCCTGAGGGTGTCGAGGAGCCACCCTACCCTCCCGGCGGAGAGCCTGGTTCTGGAGAGCACGGCGGCTCGGACGAGTCGGCTACCGAGTGTACTGCGCACGACGACCACTGGCACTGTCCCGAGGGCGTCGAGGAACCCGCCAACCCCCCGGGCAGCCAGCCTGGTGCCGAAGGCGCAGGAGGCGCAGAAGGCACCGAGACCGAGTGCACCGCTCATGACGATCACTGGCACTGTCCCGAGGGCGTTGAAGAACCCTCGTACCCCCCTGGGGGTGAGCCTGGCTCAGAGGGCGCTGGCGCTGGCGGCGATGGAAGCGCCTCGGGAGAGTGTGTCGTGCACGATGACCACTGGCACTGCCCTGAAGGGGTTCCAGAGCCTGATTCGCCGCCGGCGCCAGAGGTGGTTGAAGTGTCGGGCACTGCTTCGTTCGATGTGACCAAGGCGTACATGGTGGCCTTTGCGACGATTCCCCTTCTCTTCGGTCTCATGGGCTGAAACTTTTGTTCTTTGATGCGGCGAGATATGTGTAGATGAGGTATGGGCATGCTCTTCTCTCTAGGTAGCTGAGATCGTGCCCGCCTCGGAGCCTCCGTTGACGACCCCCAAGAGGAGCAGGTTCAAACATTATTAGTTAATGTCAAATACACTTGTTAGGCATATTTCCACTTCCATCATGCCTCTTGGAGTAAGATTGCCATGGTGATTTGATGCCTGCCCATAAATGGGGGATTCATGTTCTGTCTGGAATAAGGGGCAAGGTAGCCCCGTTGCCTCATGTGTCAGCTCGGACCTGTGTGTGTCCTAGCATGGTGTCTCATGCCTATATCGGTGGTTGAAACAGATCTGCTCGGTAACTCGATGCATCCCTGTCGTCGGAAGACAGATGACTTGCGTGATGCTGCATGGTTGGGATGGAAATGGAGGTTCCATGTTGGTGCCTAGAGCTGATCCTGGTACCAACGTTGTCTCTCGGGTTCATCAGGTGGCCTCCTCTGCGCTTATCTAATCGGTCATAGGACCCTGACGAAGCTGCCTGGCAAGCTGCCTGGGAACTAGCAACCCACCTTCTGGAGGAAAGAGTGGCCCCTGGAGCTTCCTTCTGACCCCAACAAATGAGTGGGGCTCGTCGTTCGTGGCACCAGCGGCAGGTGCAACTGTCGGTGGAGGTGCAGGCAGGTGCAGCTCGTTCGCACCCACCAAAAAGAAAGACCGGGTCTCCTTCTCCAACCAGAGCCAGGGTAGATGAAGGCGGTGATCCTCATCCCCCCCGTCCAAACAAAACATAAACCACACAAACATCAAGCCTCCCCTTCGAAGAACCTGACGCGGGTGGGTTTCCATCTGCAGGTCGACATTTACTGTGTTTCTGTGCTTTTGGCCTTGTTTGTTCGCGCTGCATAGGTCTGCTTTTCTTGGCTCCTTCGTCATTTACATTCCTGTCAACAGCAACTTGCGATGCCATCCGCCCCTCTTGGCAGGTGAAGCGGTCAATCGAAAACGAGTCGAGAAAAATAGCTCCCAGCCCACAGTCTGAATCTGTTTCGAAATATGACATACTCCTCGCATTACCAAATGCCCGGCGCATTCTTCGACAGCCACACAACTGGCGTCCACCCCAATGTCTTCCGACCGCCTACCACGCCGTCAGCCTCGTCGTCCATTCACCTCGGCAAGTCCACCGCCAGCGTTGGCCCTGAGAATGCCAGCCTGGCCGCCCACGTCAAGAGAAAGCGCGCTCGTGCCGATACCTCGCGCGAGCAGACTCCCCTTCAAGAATGGTCTGATGCCAACATCAACGCCGATGGCCTCACCGACAGGAACTGCACACCGGCGGTGAAGGTCGGACAGCCCACGGAGCGCTATACCCTAGCCGGCCAGCTCGAGACGCCCGGCGGTTTCCATGCTGCAGGTGGAAATGGTCGACTCGATGAAAGCCTATACTCCGACAGCGATTACCGAAAGGCTCTCGGCTCGAAACGACACCCCGTCGAGCTCGATTCGCCAATGAATGGCCATCCCACCTTGCTTGTCAAGCCCAGCCAGCAGCCAGCAGGCGAAGGCTGGAGCCGCTTTGCGTTCAACGCCATCGGCGGCGTCATGGGCAAGGTATGGGAGTTCTGCCGAGGTAGCGCATTCACAGGCTTCTACGCTGGCGGCGGCACGCCCTACGCCATGGACGGGCAGCGACCTGTACCTGCGTCACCGACAAAGGCTCTGACACACGTAGAGAAGCCCAGGGACTACTTCTCACCCGAGAATTCCTCGGCCTTTGACGGGAATGACGCAAACGTCCCTGGCGGCTTTCCCCAATCCGACTATATGCCCTACAACCCTGAAGTTCTCGAAGCTTTGACGCCCGATTCGACACCATCCCGACCCGCTGTCAAACGCAGACAGGTGAGCGAGAACGACGAGCTGCGTCGTAACTGGATCATGGTCGATGAAGGCTCGCCCCTTGAGCAGCCGCGTACCGCTTCGAGAGCTTCGCTGCGCCCGCCGTCACGAAACTCGCGGCCCTCCATGACGACCGGCCGCCGAATTAGCGTGCCCGTCTCGCGTCTCAACACAACCCCGTCCAAGGCCCGTCGCAACTCGCTCCGCAGCCCGCATGCCGTGTCACCGGCCCATACTGCTCGAGAAGCACCCGCCAGCACTGCCAGCTGTGCCAGCGTCCGCTCTCCTCGGGCCTGTTCGCCTGGCCCGCTGTCGCCGCTTTCGCCAAGCCGGATCCCTATTCCCTCCCAGCAAGCTGGTCGCGGCTCGAACCCCTACTCCCGACCCTCGAGCTCGGCAGGCCATTACCGAAGCAACAGCTGCGTCACGTCGCCCATCCGACCGGCCCTGAGCCACCGCCGGACACATAGTGGTGCCTCAGCTGCGTCGGCTCGTGTGCAGACGTCGCGTGATAACGATGACAACGTGGACGCGAGTCCCAGGCTAAGCATGGAAGCCAAGAAGCTTGCCGCCAAGAGGCGGAAGGAGGAGCAGGACGCCGACCTGCGCATCAACGATTTCAACTACAGGCTCAAAGAGATGATCCGCCAAGGTCGGGAAGCCCTTGGAACCACATTTGAGGTAGACGATGATGCAGGTGGCTGGGAGTCGGAACACTGAGACTGTCGTGAGGTGGGGATTGGAGAGGTTGTGAGAACTGGCCTCTGTTTGGGCTCGGTGGATATTTGTTTCTCAACAGGATGGGCTATGTGAGGGCGCACGCTATGATACCTCTGCTTCTTCCAGCCTTGGCGTTTGGGCCTCCATGAGGCGTGCCTTTCACGATATCACGATTATTGGGTCAGGCGGGTTTCGGAGGCTTTTTCTTATTTTGACGTTTGCCGCGGCTCACGATCCCGCAGATACCAGATGAATGGAGCTTTACTTTGTCTTTTCGAAAACATTAAATTGTTCTGATGATGTTTTGATATCCCGAACCAAGTGGCTCTACTAAGACTGACGCGTCTGAGACCTTGATTCTGCCACACAGCCTCTCCGCCAAACCACCTCTACTATCGGACGCCTGGCGCCAGGTATTCCCCATGCAAGTCGCCGGCATCAGCCCACGCAGCGATCCCACAAAAATCACAGCTTGTGCTCCCCCAAAAACAGCGCCCCAAGCAGCGCCAGCAGCGAGCAGACGAGCGAAACGCCATGACTCCACGACAGGCCCTCGATGTAGGACGCGACAACCGCCTCGCCGACCCTGCCGCGCGCGCGCTCGATGAAGCCGACGCTCGAAGCCGCCTCGGCGACGACGTGGCGCCGCGCCGCGTCCGTGAGGCCCAGGGCCGCGAGGCGCGCGTCGAGGGCCGCCTTCATGGTGCCCATGACGACGGCGCTGACGGTCGCGAGCCCGACAATCATGCCGACGGTCGTGCAGAGGTAGAGGCCGGCGATGGGCGGCGGCCTTGTGGCGCGGGTCGACGGCGGCCTGGACGCTGACGAAGACGGCCGAGATGGCGACGCCCTGGCCGAAGCCGCCGGGGGACAATGTAGAGCGACTCCCAGAGGTTCGTGTGGCCGTGCCAGCGCAGCACGAGGAGCACGTAGGCCGGCGGACGAGCAGAGGGTGGCCAGGACGGTGAGGCGCTTGTAGCGGCCTGTGCGGCGGATCAGGAGGCCCGCGAGGATGCCGCCGGCGGCGTTGCCGGCGACGGCGGGGAAGAGGTGCGCGCCGGCGACCGTGTTGGAGGCGCGCTGCGTGACTTGGAAGTAGAGCGGCACGGCGAACATGAGACCCAGCTGCGCGGCCGTCTGGAGGAGGATGATGGCGTAGGAGAGGACGACGTCGCGCTGGCGGAGCAGCGCCAGCGGGAAGATGGGGTCCGCGCCGGGCCGGGCCTCGGCGAGGGCGAAGAGGCCTGCGAGCACTGCTGAGGAGGCGAGGAGCCCCGGGACCAGCGGGTGCGACCAGGGGATCTTGCTGCCGCCGAGTTCGATGGGCGCGAGGAAGGCGAGGATCGTCAGGGCGAGGAGCAGGGCCCCGAGCCAGTCGATGCGGGAGAGTGACCCCTTGCTCGGTGCTGATATCTTGGCCGTCGGCTGATCCGCCGCGCTGGCGGAGGGCACCGTGCGCTTTGTCGTGGATGGGAGGTAGGCCATGCAGAGGAGCAACGCGAACATGAAGATGGGCGCCTGGCCGAGGAAGGACCAGCGCCAGCCGATTGTGTCTGCGAGCCATCCTCCCACGGGACCGCCGAGGCTGCGTCCGATGGTCGCTGCCAGGTTGATGGTTGCTTGCCAGGCGGCGACGTCGCGCAGCGGGACGAGATCCGTAATGACCAGCGCAGCAACAACGTTCATGGCCGATCCGCCAGACCCTGATATAACCCTACCGAGCACAACCTCCCACATGGACCCTCCGATGCCTACGATGAAGCATCCTAGCGCGAATAGAGAGTATGCCACGGCGAGCAGCGCCCTGCGGCCGTAGATATCGCTGAGCTTGCCGTAGATGGCCTGTGTGGACGCGCCGGCGAGAGCGAAAGCTGTGAACAGCCAGCTCGAATCCTCGAGGTCGTTGAATTCGGAAGCAATGGTGGGGTGTGTCGCTAGGACCAGACTGCCGTCGGCGTTGGAGGTAAAGGTACCGAGGAGAAGGATGGCGACGATGCGCACGACGGCGGCGCGGGGGGTTGGCGCGAGACCATCTCGTCCTACAGATGCTTCTTCGTCGCGAGGGCTGGTATTACATCTCGTCAGTGGGAGATCATTGCTGCGGAGCATGGCAGTCTACTAACCCGACGGAAGCCCCCTCGTCAGACGCGTCGTAACTCGAGTCACTGGTCACAGAGATTGTCGCCGATGAGCTCAAGAGAAGGGGTGCTCGTTCATCCAGTGTCGGCGCAGCGCTTGGTTCGGCGGCCATTGTGACGTGCAGCGTCTCAGCGCAATGTTCAGAGTTTCCTCACCACTTGTCGTCGATTGCCTCGCGACTTGTAGACAGGATGGGAGAAAAAAGAGAGTTCTGCGGGAGAGAGTTCTCGACCGTGAAGCAAGCAAACTGAAGGCTCCTGCAGATCCAGATCAGTGCCACTAGAATATCGTGGCGTCGCCAATGAGGAGCACATCATACATGCAGTCCATGCCGATAGACCGTTCATCCCACCCTTATCGTCGATGTGCTCTGGAGAAAAATCGCTGTGCGGCCTTGCCAGAGCTCCGGTTCGGGATTGCGCCATATGGCACCATCACGGACGGCTCCGCTGTCCGACTCGCTGCAGGGGCCTTTTCTTGGCGATGGCCGCCGGCCGGCTGCTCGCCGGAGACATTTTCGCAACGAATGCCGTGAACTGCACGCCGATTGTTAATAAAGTACCTTGCCTGTGGACTGCGTGTCCTGTTAGTTTAACCTGCAGTCAAGTCAACTCATGTCTGCGACAGCCAGACCAAACAACCGAGTCCTAGGTCATGACACAGCCGTTGCCAGCAATGATTCGGTTTGCCAACTGACAATAGTATACACATCAGCAAGATAAAACATTGTAGCCCCCGCCAGATTATTCCGCGCCGTGGCCCAGATAGAAGCGATATGCCTTTTTTACCCCCCTCCTTTCCCTATCCCTTACCCTCCAAACGAGATAGCCAAGTCTTGTTGGGCGTGCGTCTACTAAGCAGGATACCCGCGCTTCTCGCTCTCGGTGAAGAAGATGACCATGCGCCAAAGCTTCTTGGCCATGTCTTCTGCTTCGTCGTCCAGGGCCTGTCATGGATCATTAGCAATCGTTCTGGAATGGGATCGCGTAACAAAATAGCACTCACCCCGCGTAGCTCCTCCACTAGGTCCTCTGGCTTGCCGTGCTTCCGCAGATGCTCCTCGACGACCTCGACCAAAAGCTCCTCCTGCACACCCAGGTACTCGACAATCTTCTTCTCCACGAACGGCCGCAGCTTCTCGCGAATGATGCTGTCGTCGAGGTGTTCCCACTGCACGTCCCACTTCCACAGGCCCTCCTTCTCCGATGGAATCTCCTGCGCCAGAGCGCGCACCGCCTTGCTGAGCTCCTCTTCCGTCATCTTATCCGCCGCCGTCGTCGGCTCGAACTGGATCGGAATGAGCTGTCGCTTCGCCGTGCCGTCCTGCTCCTCGTCATCGAGCAGGCCTTCCACTTCAGCAATCGTGCGCCTGTTGGAGGCCGCCTTCTGCTGGTTGCGCTGCGCCGCCGCGCCGAGCGAGAGCTTGAATGGCGCCGGTGCCGCGGCCGTCGCTTGCTGCCGTTGCTCCAGCTCCTGCGCCTGCCTGTCGAGGAATGAGTCGGCCATGCCGCGGGCGTGTTCGTTGTCCGCTGCCTCCCTCCGTTTCTCGTCAGCCTCGGCACGCCTGTCATTGTCGTCCCTGGCTGCCTCGTCGGCCCGGTCCATCTGTCGCTTGCGTACCCATGCGGCGTGGTCGCGGTAGAATGGGTGGCTCTTTCGAGACGCCTCCCGCTCATCGTCCCAGGCCTTCTCTCGCTCGAGCTGTTCGTCCCTTCGTCGCTCAAAGGTTTCTTCCTCCTGCTGCTCGCGGTCACGCTCGCGCTCCAGGGCTGCTTGTCGAGAGCGCTCTCGGTTGAACCATTTACGCTCCGCCTCTGTGTACAGATTTTCGTCGTCTTCCTTCTGCTTGTTGAGATGCCTTCGATACAGCTCTTCGTCGTCAGCGTCGCTCTCCTCGTCCTCGCGGTTGATAGAGTACTCGGCATTGGCAACGCCCCCGTTGACGAATGACACTGAACGGGTGCCATTGGTGCCCCTCGGGCCGGACGGCGCGTTGTGCGGACCTCGGGAGCCGGAGGAGGCATCTGGAGGGGGCGTGTCGAGCCGAGACCGGTGTTGAGGGTTGTTCCTATGTCGCTCTGCCTCTTCCATTTCCTCCTCTCTCGTAAAACGCTCCATGTCGCGCCTGATGCTGGGGCCACGGGCGCTGCAATCTCGGCCGCCGGACCTCGCGCTTTTCACCCGGAATGGGGGGAAGCTCATGGGCGGTGCCAGCGGAATGGGGGCGACGTGACCTTCTTTCTGGTGGCTATTGCGTGGCGACTTCTCCGCTGGGGCTTGAATGGCGTCTTGAGATACACCAAGTGCGCGGATGACCCGCCTCAAAAACCCGCCTTGGGGCGCCCTCGAA